TTTAATTATTTTATTATTTTTGTGTGAGTGTACCGTCAAATCAGATCTGACTGGTACAGGAGGAGATTGTCCCTCCTTCCCCGGCAGAGCATTTGGTGGATTTGAACTGTGAGCGTCTGGTATTGTAGTTGCAGCTCCTTACCATTAGACCACCAGAGCACCAGAGCTGCCGTGCGAATACCTGTTTTAAAAACCCACCCGGGTGTGATATCTTTTTGTCTTTATGGGAGCAGTGAAGGTGGATAAGAAAACATTTCCTAGAGGGGAAGGTTGCTCTAACAAATATCTAAAATGTGGAAATGGTTTTGGATTTGGGTCATGACTGGAGATGGAGAAATACTATTCGTGTATCTGACAATCCCGGCTTGCCTTCAATAAACTGTTGGTGGATTTAAGGATTATTCCAGCCTCAGTCCTCCATTTTGTGGTGTATTGTAAATCCTATGCTGATGAACATTCTGGAACAGCTTGCCTGTTGTGTAACTGAGTCACAGCTGACCCTTCAGAGGCTGTCAGTCACATGGGAGGAAATTGCCTTAGCTATCTCCTGAGGAGCAGCTGGAGGATTCCAACCATGTGCCTTTGGGTTGGTAGCACAGCGCCTTACTCACTAGGCCACTGGAGCTCACTGAAGTAGGATTACTGGATATGACCGCAGTTACTCTTATAGTCACCTTGAGGGCATATTCTGTAGTCAGTATAAATAGGATTGTTATTGTATACCATAGAGTTGCAGCCGACCCACAGCCCATAGTCGACCCTCCATTAGGTTTTCAAAGGCAGTTAATCACACAGGAGATTGCCCATCCTTCTCCCACTGAGCAGCTGGTGGATTTGAACTACCTGCATTTGGAATTGCAGTGCAACTTCTTGCCACTAGGCCACCAGAGCTCCATAAATAAAATAACTAAACAACTCATTCCCATCAAGTTAAGGAGAATTCCCGTCTTGCTCCCTTGGAGCAGCTAGTGGAATTGAACCACCTGGCTTTGGGTTGGCAGTGCATCATCTTAACAAGAAGGTTCAGTTTTTTGCTTGGATCTGATCTGATCCAACTGTCCCTACAAACTGCCACCTGCCTCAACCTGGCAAGCCAAGCCACCCATTGATCATTGGCTCCTGCAGTCATAGGGGTCAGCTTACTTAACTGAAACTTGATCCATAGATTTGGGACTTGCCAAACTCCATAACCACTGAACTTTCCCTGAAAGTTTGTGAGTTTCTATGACTAAGACAGAAGAAAGCTGAAGGAATAAGGAACCATCCATATTAGAGATGACAGTGTGGTACAGCATTTGGTACCAAAAATTTGGATATATGGATGGAAGGAGTGTGTGTGTAAAGGAACTAGGAAAGATCTTATGGGTACCTGAAAAGTCAGGGTAATGATGGGCATAGTCCAGTGGTGATTAATTTTGTATAACATAATGCATGGATGAAGCTCTGGTGGCCTAGTGGCAAGAAGCTGCACTGCAATCACAGAGGTACGTGGTTCGAATCCACCAGATGCTCTGCTAGAAAAGGTGAGGCAATCTCCTCCTGTACCAGTCAGATCTGGTTTGACAGTCAACACACACACACACACACGCACACAAATCCCATAATATATGGAAATGATTGTATGAAACAATGTAAATGAAGAATAGTATGAAACACAATGTATACTAACTTTGTAAGCAAACCAACATAAAAGTTAAAAAAATAAAAAGTTGGACATTTGGGACATGCTTAACCTCCACATTGTAGGAACCAGCTTTGTACAATTCCTTCTAAAAGAAATTGTGCAGGCCAGGGGAGAGGTTACTAGACATAGAAATGTTAACATGTACAGAAGAGGAAGACCTTGGATGAGATGGATTGATACAGTAACTGGGTCAATGGGGTAGATGAGTGGGAGTCAGTGAGCCTGGCTCAGGACAGGGCAGGCTTCAGAGCTGTCGCACAGGGTCACTGTGAGTCACAGGCAATTTGACAGCCCATAATTGTGCTTTTAGTGAGATTGTAAAAGGACCCGATATAAATGTTGTTGGCTACTCAAAGTTGTTATAAAGTGGCAAAGGATTTTTCTGAGTTAAGTTGAAATGTTTTATGGAAAATAGACTATTGCACTGAAGAAATTTCTAATCAAAATCCTAAAGGGATTTTTGCATTGTTGCTCTTTGTTACTTACTCCTTGCTCTAAATTGTAAAATGCAGGAGGAAAGTAATTTAAAAATGAACTGCAAAAAGTAAAGAGAGGTTAAAAGATATTAAATTCTGTGGTGAAAACTAAGAGAACATATCCTGGAAGTGACACCACAGTTGTTGCTACATAATCTTTTGTTAAAGAGATTTGACCTGACCAGGAGGATGGAATCTACCAAAGGTAAGAAGGCAGGGTCACCATGTCCAAAGAGCAGAGCCATTGCTCGGATGTATGTAGAAAACAGGTGATTATTTTCAGTCCTTCAGAGCTAATAAGATTTACTCTGCTTTATTTTCAACTGCCTGTTGCCCATGACTCCTTATTTTTACTCCCCACCTATATCCTCTGGCAATGAAAACGTCTGCCTCCTACTGGCCCTGCCATTGTATTTTGGAAGCAGAGGACTTGTATCCTAGGTCTCAGAGGGCCATAGAAGAAGAGAACTTTTACCCAGGATGTTGGAACACAGTAGAATCTTGTCTTTTAATTAATACAGTGATGCAGTTGCAAGAAATACCACACATGAATGGATTTAACAAGCAAATTTTATTTTTCACTGTTATGAGGTAGAAGTCTAAATTTAGAGCGAGCACTCTTGGGGAAAGTTCTCTCTGTCACTTCTGGGAAAAGGTCATGGTAATTTGTCAGCTTCTGGGTTTTTTTGTCCCCTGATGTTCTGCATGTGGCTGGAGGTCTGTCCTCCCCCAGTCCTCCTTGCTGCTCCTTTGTCAGATTTGTTCCTTTTATATCTCAAAGGTGATTCTCTTAAGCCATACCCACTTTATAGCATATCTGCCAGAACAATGCTACTTAACTAAAATACTCACATTTCTTGTTTTTTCTATATTTTTATATTGGATTTTATCAGCATTTCAAGCTGGATTCAGAAGAGGCCACGGAACAGCTGCTGACATCTGATGAATCTCAACTGAAAGCAAATAATACAAGAATAATGTTTACCTATGTTTTATCACCTAGGCAAAGGCATTCAATTCTGTGGATCATAATAAATGATGGGCAACTCTGAGAAGAATCGGACAGCATTTTAGAGCGCTTAATTGTTCTTCTATATCCTGTGGAGGGCTAAAAGAACAAACAAGTCTCTTTTGGACAGTGTACATACTAGGGTGCTCCTTGGAGGCAAGGACGGTGAAACTTTGGCTCACATACTTTGGGCATGTTGTTAAGGGGAGCCAGTCTTTGAAGAAGGACATGGTGCTTGAAAAGGTAAAGGAGGGTCAGTGTAGGGGAGCAAGATAGAGCAGCTCAGTGGCTTTAACAATGGGCTCAGGTATAACAGTGATGAGAATGGCACAGGTTAGGTCTAGTTTCACATCATAGGGTTGCTATGAGTGGTGGTTGACTTGACAGCACAGCACAACATACATGGATGAAGAAGCTGTCACAGAATAAGGTGATAATACTGCATGCTCTTTAAAATCAGGAGAAAGGTGTACATCAGGATTTCTCTTCACCACACTTGTATTCAATCTGTATACTGAGCCAATAATCTGAGAAGCTGAACTATATGAATAAGAATGTGGCAACAGAATTAGAGGAAGACTTATTAATGAACTGAAACATGTAGGTGGCACAAAAAAAAGTGAAGAGGGCTTAAAGTGCTTATTGAAACTGAAAGGATACACCTTCAATCTGGAATATACCTCAATATTAAAAAACATAGATTGTCCCCACTGGACCAATAACCATATCCAGCATCATGATAAATGGAGAAAAGACTGAAGTTGTTAAGGATTTCCTTTGACTTGGGTCCACAGTAAAAACCCTGGGATACAGCAGTCAAGCCGTCAAAAGACAA